TTTCAAAACCACATACAAAGCACCATTTCAAACAATTGAAAAGCAAAAGCAAGTGATCTAAACAAGTAACTAAGAGCCCATGGATAACCATGGATGAAAAGGGTGCTTCCACCTTACCTTTTCATAATCTACCCCCCAAACCCAAGAAAACATCTCAAAGGTCTTTCCTGTGCTTTTTGACCATTCCTTTGGATAAAATAAAAAGTCGGTGGCGACTCTTGCTAAACCGAAACATTTGTGAACACAAACGCAAAACCTCAAGTCAGTTCTCCCACCGTATCACAATAAGTCCTCTCTGTTTTCATAGATATATTCATGATCCTTTCATCTATAGTGTCTCCAAGAGGGGATGACCTTGGTGAGTGAGACTCTTGTTGAACTTCTCTAGATGTTTCTTATCCAAATTATGGAAAGAAACTATGTTCCTTTTTTTAGTGCCAAAGTGACATTCTTCTTCTTCATCTAAGATCATATATATTTTGATTAAAACCTTGTTATTGTTTGGGTTGTACATCTTGTAGCCCTTTGAGCTTCAGTCATAACCGACTAAGAAGAATTTATCGCTCTTGTCGTCAATTTCATTTCTTTTCTCCTTTGAAATGTGAACATAGGCTACACTCTCGAAGACCCTCAAGTGTGAGATACCAGGCTTTCTTCCACTCCATGCCTCTTGTGGAATATTTCCCCATTCAATTCAAATTGAAGATCAATTTGATAGATATGTTGCACACGTCACTACCCAAAGTTCTTTTGGTAGTTTCTTACTTTTGAGCATTCTTTGAGCCATGTCAAGAATTGTTCTATTTTTTCTTTATGCAACACCTTTTTATTGGAGGATCTTGAAACTGTTAATAGACATCTAATTCCATTCTTCTTACAAAATTCTTGAAACTCCTTTGAAGTGAACTCACCTCTTCGATCTATTCACTTAGCCTTTATCTCTCAACCACTTTCTTTCTCCACAACAACTTTGAACTTCTTAAAGGTGGTAAGTACTTCTGATTTATGCTTCAAGAAATAAACCCAAGTTTTTTTTGAAAAATCATCAATGAAAAGAAGGAAATAATTGTTTTTTCCTAGTGATCTTGGCTTGAATGTCCCACACACATCAGCATGTGTAAGCTCGAGTGGATTTTTGGCTCTTGAGCTTGTCTCCTTTGGAAAGCTCGCCCTGAATTATTTTCCAAGTAAGCATCCTTCACTCAATTGATATATGTGATTGATTTGTGGAATAACTCAAACCATATTTTGTTTTGACATCAAAATTAAGCCTCTAAAATTTAAGTGCCCAAATCTAAGATGCTAATGCCACCACACATTATTGTAGCACGCTTTGAGACATTTTTCCATGTTGTTTTAGATATTAAACAATAATATCATATTCCTCAACATTTGTACCTTTACGATCAAATTATTCTTTCCATCTTTGATGGAGTGATTTAAATCTTTCATGTGCATATCAATAACCCTTTTCTAAAAGTTGTCCTAACCTCAAAATATTGTTCTTCATGTTTGAAACATAGTAAAAATTTGAAATAAACCAATGTCTCCATTTTTTAGAGAAATTAATATAATATATTTTCCTTTCACAGGAACCTTGGAATCATCTACAAATGAGACATTTACATTGAATGATTCATCAAGTTCTACAAACATGCTCCTTTTTTAGACACACATGGTTGCTTGCACCAGTGTCAAGGTACCATAAATTCTCTTGGCTTCCTTCATTATTCCATGCGCCAACAACACTGTTTGAAACTTCTCATTCTTTCCTTCCACATAGTTGGTCTTTTACTCTACTCTATTCTTGAAAGATATACATTCTGAAGTGTAATGGCCAAACTTCTCACAATTATAGCACTGACTTTGAGATTTATAATTCCTAGTTTTTATGTATCCTCTTCACGCCCCCTTGTTGAGGTTTCTCCTCTCTCATAACAGTCACTAGTGAAATTTAAAACTCGTCCACAGTTAGCACATACAAAATGTCCTCGACCATGACCTCGTCTTTGACCTCTACCTCAACTTTGTTGGTATCTCTCATTTCTTTGGTTTCTTCATTCTCCTTTAGCTTCATATTGAATATTTTTCCCGTGATCTATTTCTTCTTCTTGTGTTTCTCCTCATAAGCTAATAATGATCTTTGAAGTTTTTATATTGTCATAGTCACTAAATATTTTGTTTATTCAATTGTCATAACAATATACTCAAATTTGGGGTCTAATGAGCGGAGTACCTTCACCATAATTCTCAAATCTTTTACCTTTTCACCATTTCTTTTTAACTGATTTGAAATTGTGATAACTCTTGAAAAATATTCGAAAATAGACTACGACTCTTTCATATGTAAGGATTCAAACTCGGCTCTTAAAGTTTTGAAATGCATCCTATTTACTTTGTCTTCACCAATGTAAGATGTTTGGAGATTTAACTTTGCATTTGATATTTTCTCAAACTCATCTTCATCAAATGTTTGATAGATGAGGAAAAGAGCTTTCTTGTCTCTCTTTCTTGAATCCTTCAAAACATCCTTTTCTGCTTGAGTTAAAAAATCCTCATCTTGTGATCCCTTTTAACTTTTTTCAACAACCTCCCAAAATATTGTGTGCTCCAAGAAGATCCTTCATTTTTAAACACAAATTATCATATGTACCTTCCTTGAAATATGAAACTTGGAAGGGTATCACTCCATTGTTTTCCTTGAACATATACAAAGTTCTTATCAAAATCTAAGCTCTTATGCCACTTTATTGAAAAAGGAAAATAACTATATTGGGATTTTATGAGGAATTGGAAGGAGAGATTATTTGAGAGAATGATAATTTCTATTGAGAGGATGTTTTACAAACTTGTTTACTTGCTTTCAGTAGCTTGGTTTATAAATGATAAGCTTTCCCTATATATAGGATTCAAAGGAGAATTCTACTTACATCTATAAGTTATTCTAAATATTTCATGAGAGATAGAATTTAACATTATTCTCTCTATAATGTACATTTATTACTATGATTTCACTAATCTACTTCTACATATCTTTTTAACTTTCTTTAGACTATGTTACTAAATCAAAATGGACCCAACACTTTATTTTGTCCAATAAATCAAAAAAATTATTTATAATCCAAACTTTCTTATTGTCCTTCATCCCTAGTCCCCCTTGACTGTATCTTTCTCTTTATAATCTTTTGCTTTCACCGAGCTTAACCCTCTGCAACTCAAAGTGAGACTCATGCCTTTTGTTTTTAGAAACTTATAAGTTCACAATATAGAATTTATTCCCATATCTAGTCAAACCACTAATTTCTCTCATCGACGTCTTTCTATCAATTCTTAGGAGAACCATCCATGAACCATAAATCTTTTATAAAAACTTTAATATTGTTTTTTAATCATTCTCTATCACCTGACTCTGACTCTATTGTCACATTCACTTTGTGATTTAGTTTTTTATCATTCTATAACTCTAAAGGAAAAACTTTAATATTGTTTTTTAATCATTCTCTATCACCTGTCTGACTCTATTGTCACATTCACTTTGTGATTTAGTTTTTTATCATTCTATAACTCTAAAGGAAGTAAGCGCTAATCAGGGTTGGTGTTGACTTTTTAGAGGCATTGGGCGAATAATAAAAATTGAGTCACGATAAAAAATCGAGCAAGTAACCTTGAATATTTATCATCTTTTTTTGGGTTTTATTTTTCCCATTTGTTTCATAGAGAGAAGATAAAACCACAATGTCATATTCAAAGGGAATGGCGGTGGTTGTCACCGGAGTTGCTGGCGGTGCAGTGCGCTGGCTGGTGCGTGAGGGATAAATGTTTGACGATGAAGAGTTAAAAGAGAGATAAATACGTGAAAATGTGAAAACGTATTGAGGAAAGAGATGTGAATTTTATATTGACATTGATGCAATTAAACCAAATCAATGTATTGAGTTTGAGAGTATTACACAAAATCAATTGTTGAAAATCTACTTCCACAAATGATAATGAATTATATTTATTTATTTATTTATTTATTTATTTTACAATTTATCTCACTATCTCTTTTAATTACTAAAATATTATCGTTTTTACAATTAAATCACTAACTAATAATTTTACATATAAAAATAATTCAATACTTTATTAAAATATTATCATTTTTACAATTAAATCACTAACTAATAATTTTACATATAAAAATAATTCAATATTTTAGGTAATTAGTACTAACCTTTTTTTATATTTTTATTTAATAATATTTCTTTTATTGATATAACGATTTCTCTACAAAAAATTATAAATATCTCGCAGTGTGCTACCAAATTTTCCAATAATTTTTTTACTACAATTAATAAATATAAATGTAATATTTCATTAATTAATAATAATATTGAGAATTTTATTTCTATAAATAATAACCAACCTTATTGTGAAAAATAAAATTAAAAAACGTGAAAGACTAAAAATAAATTTATGTTTCTTCATACTTGATTTTATAATTAATTATTTAATTAATCCATCTTTACAAAATTGTATAAATAGATGATAGTGATATAGTAATCAAAGTAAACCTAAGAGATTTGGAAGACTTTGTTGGAACTCTCTGATAGTAAATTAAAAAATCTATCCTAGGCTGGGTCAGAGTTGAACCCACAACGTGTTCAAAAACAACAGCAATTACCGCAAGGCAAAGACTACTTAGTATAAATTAGCAAACACATTATTGATTACATCATATTTATTATACTTTTTAAACATTTTCGTATATATATATATATATATATATATATATATATATATATATATATATATATATATATATATATATATATATATATATATATATATATATATATATATATATATATATATATATATATATATATATATATATATATATACGTGAAATATGCTATCAAAATATTTTACGGAGCTTTTCATAAATTACTAATTTTGTTTAGGATCCACTGCAACCTTCTCTATATAACAGTCCCATTCCTACTCCCCCTATCACCATGAACCCCCCGAATTTGCCCACGGGAAAACCTTGTTCGTTTCTAATGAACAAAGAACGTCCACTCTCACGCCAAAACCCTCTCACAGTCAACAAAGAATCCCGCAAGATCACCAAGAATCCGCCATTGCCAAAACCTCGGAAAATGATCAAGCAGATAGAAGAGCCTCGAATTATCTATACCGTGCCTCAAAGAGTCATCCACGCTTCTCCCCAGGACTTCAAAGACGCCGTCCAGCATCTCACCAGTATCAAGCAACCTACCGGAGTCAGTAAAGTTTCGCCCGCAGCGAGGCTGCCTTCGACCAAAAGAACGAGGTCTTCTTGGAGTAATGGAGATGCTGATATGATGCGGATGTTGGATAATGGGGTGCAAAGGAGTCAGTTTCCAAGACTCTTATTGCCAGAGCCGGCGGTTTTGTCGTCGTTGCCTTATGAGAATTTTTTGCCACCGGAAATGCCGCAAATGCTGTATAACAACTTTTTACCTCCAAAGTTGCCGCAAATGCAGCATTACAACTCTTTGCCGACGACTTTGCCGCAAATACAGCATAACAACTCTTTGCCAGCACCATTGCCACCGGTTACTACGGAGAGTCTTATGCAGGAGTTATTTTCTCCGGGGAATAATGTACGGATACCTCCAGATTCTTTCTTGCCATACAGTTGGCAGGAGAAACCGTCTGATATTTTCTCGCCAGTGACTTTGCCACAATCAGATGTATTCTTGCCTGACACTGTCTCACCGTTGGAATTTTTCTCGCCGGAGAAATTGCTAGCCACACAGTTAGATAATTTCTTGCCAGATAATTGGCAGCCGTCGGATATTTTACTGGAAGACACTTGCCAACCGTCGGCTACTTTCTCGCCGGAGAGATTGCCATCGACTCAGTCGGATAATTTGTTTCCAGACAATTGTCATCCATCGGATATTTTATCGTCAGAAGCTTGTCAACCGACGGATACTTTCTCGCCGGTGACATTGCCATTGGCACAGTCAGGAAACTTCTCGCCAGACAATTCGTCACTGTCGGATATTTTATCGGCGTACACCTCTGAACCGTCGGCACAATCAGATACTTTCTGGACAGACCCTTGGCAACCGATACCGTTGGATAATTTCTCTCCGGTACCATTGCAACCAACACCATCAGACACTTGGCTATCGTCGGATACATTCTCACCGGAGACATCACAACCGAAACCGTATGAGGTATTTTCACCGGTTTTAGGCCAGCAGTCGCAGACGGTGTTGTCTTATGATGGCTTTTGGCCTGAGAACAGAATCTTTGCAAAACCGCCTGAATTTATTCCTGCTGATGTTGTTCCGCCACAGACGCCATCAAACCAGTTCAATTCTTTCAATTACCACTAAGTATATTTTTCATGTTTTCTCTTTTTGATTGAGTAGGGACTTGGGAAATACATACGATATAGATTCGGTGTATTTTAAATATGCCACCGTTTTTAGAGAAATGAAGATAAAAGCTTTGTATTTACATGCACTTTACTTCTTCTTAGTATACTTACATTGATGTTAATTATTGTGACTATGCGAAAGTATATTATGTAGTACTCTTCTTCACTAATTGATTTATCTAGAAATAAGGAAACTAACCGTTGAAATTACTATAAATTTTTAGAATATTCTAAATATAATATGTATGATAATGGTAGAATACTCTAAAAACTATAGTGTGTATGAGTATGGTAGAATACATTAGAACTATAATTGTATGTAAAAGATAGAAAAACCTAGAATTATCATGATACTAACATATCATGAAAACTCTAGAAAAATCTAAAGTAATGTTGAAATATTCACCACCATTGAGAGATTGGTGACTCGAGGATATAAATAGGCATTTGGTATCTTGTAATGTATCATCCAAGAAATCAATGACATAGCATTCTTTCTAAACAACTCTCTAAAACTATCTTCTATCAACTACACCACTATTAACAGTGGCATCAGAGCTACGTTCGGTCATACATTGGGCATAATTAAATTAATAGATATTGTTGTACCCCAAAATTTGCCCTCTCATTTTACTCAACACATACTCATTGAAGTCCCCAATTTGCTCAATGAAACCCAAGAGTTGACCAGACAAACTGTCTCCTAAGACAGTATACCTCAAATTAGGGTTTCTCCTAAGACATTATACCTCAAATTAGGGTTTCCATTTTCATCAAGATGTGTGAACCACAAAGGACCTAAATGCTTTCAATGGACCTAATATGTTCCTAAGATCATCCATGTCAAGTTTCATGCCTTGCACAAAAAGTTTGCTCAGTCAACTGCTTAAATGCTTGAGAATCGACTATATTAGTTCAAAAGTCAACCGTGGCCCACATACAGTCAAACCTCAAGATTTTTGGTCAACATCAAGATTTTGAAGTGAATTTCATTATTTGATCAAGGGTTGATCATGATTCTTCAAGGAATCCCCCAAATTTATCAAAACCCACAAGTTGCTAAATTAGGGTTTCTTAGAAAAAGTCATCCAAACTTTGACCAAGCATAACCTCCACATACTTTATCAGAAATTTTTCATCCAAGGCTCATTTTGAAGAGGATGCAATTCCCTACAATTCATCATCAGCCCACAAGTTCAAAATATGCACTCATCAAAAGATATGAATTTCTATATTATAGGTCCTTTTGAAAAGTCACAGGTTCCTTCTCACAGCCCTACTATACAGGCTTTCATTTTGAAGAAACCCTACGATACAGGTTCCTTCTCACAGCCCTACTATCCAGGCTTTCATATCGAAGTAGCCCTGTGATCCACGTTCCTTCCCACAACCCTACTATCCAGGCTTTCATTTCGATGTAACCCTACTATCCAGGTTCCTTCTCACAACCCTACTATCCAGGCTTTCATATCGAAGTAACCATACTATCCAGGTTCCTTCTCACAGTCCTACTATACAGGCTTTCATTTCGAAGTAAACCTACTATCCAGGTTCCTTCTCACAGCCCTACTATCCAGGCTTTCATTTCGAAGTAACCCTACTATCCAGGTTCCTTCTCACAGCCCTATTATCCAGGCTTTCATTTCGAAGTAACCCTACTATCCAGGTTCCTTCTTACATCCCTACTATCTAGGATTTTATTTCTAAGTAACCCTACTATCCAGGTTCCTTCTCATGACCTTACTATCCAGGTCCCTTCTCTCTTATCTCCAAACAACAGTTCACAACACTGTAAGACCTGGACCTGATCAAACACGATCGATTTCGCATTTCCCCAGTAAGTCGCGGTGCACCCTATACACTGACCTGATATGCAGTTCACTTCCGCTTCCTCAAGCAGGAGTTATTACCCCAATAGAGTAACGGACAACTGAAGCTCCTAAACTCTATCAGCATTACCCGACGAAGTTCTCCTCAACAACAGGTACATGGATCCTCGCAAAGGAATCTCTTATGCGATTGATATTTTTTTCCGGATGGCATCTTTAAGCCCATCTCCGACGAGTCTACATCAACTTCTAAATGGCATCTGTAATCCCATTCCCGATCTCACCAATCAGTACTACTCCATGCGAGTGCAAATTTCTGGGCACTCTAGTGTTCAATCATCTTCCACCTTCAGATCACGAAAGGCTGGCAAGCCAATCTACATCCTCAGGTTTAAGAAGACTGAACAGGGGCAACTATTGTACCCCAAAATTTTCCCTCTCATTTTACTCAACACATACTCATTGAAGTCCCCAATTTGCTCAAGGAAACCCAAGAGTTGACCAGACAAACTCTCTCCTAAGACAGTATACCTTAAATTAGGGTTTCCATTTTCATCAAGATGTGTGAACCACAAAGGACCTAAATGCTTTACATGGCCCTAATATGTTCCTAAGATCATCCATGTCAAGTTTCATGCCTAGCACAAAAAGTTTGCTCAGTCAACTGCTCAAATGCTTGAGAATCGACTGTATTAGGTTAAAAGACAATTGTGGCCCACATACAGTCAAACCTCAAGATTTTTGGTCAACATCAGCATTTTGAAGTTACTTTCATCATTTAATCAAGGGTTGATTGTGATTCTTCAAGGAATTCCCCAAATTTATCAAAACCCACAAGTTGCTAAATTAGGGTTTCTCAAGAAAAGTCAACCAAACTTTGACCAATCATAACTTCCACATACTTTATTAGAAAGTTTCCATACAAGGCTCATTTTAAATAGGATCCAATTCCCTACAATTCATCTTCATCCCACAAGTTCAAAATATGCATTCATCAAAAGATATGAATTTCTACATTGTAGGTCCTTTTGAAAAGTCAACAAAAACACTTTTTGGGTCAAAGCTTCTTACATGAACATGGAAGACTCAATTGAGATGATACCAAAAGGGTTGCTTAGGGGACATCCTAAGATTTCTAAAAATTCCAAGAACACCTCTCTAGTGTTAAAATTGGAAGAGATATGCCTTGTCAAAGTTGACTTTTTTTGTAAAATTGCCAAAAGTCAAATATGCTCAAAAGTGCATTTTTTTTACCAAATGGCCTTAGCATTTCATGATTGCACCTCACTTGTAACATGTTCCATGACCCAATTACTTATCCACATGTTATTTTCTTCATTTTCCATTTTTATTTTGATATTTATTAATTAAAAATTGAATTAAATCAAATAATTGGTAAATAATATCAATGATATGCTTTGATTTGATTTTTGGACAGAATCTCAATCAAAAAATGCTAGAATATCAAGGCCAAATCGAATCATGCATGATTGGTATAAGAAAAGAATGATTTGGCTTAATATAGAAGGTTTGCATATGGATGAGAAATCAAATCAAATCTTCCAAAATTGCAAAGATTCAATCTGTTTTTGCAACCCTAATTTATTCAAGGGTATATATTAAACAAGAAACAAAGCATAAAAAAGGGGGTTGGCAGGCGTAAAAAGGCAGAACAAAATTCCAATTTTCAAAGAAAAGTGCAGATCCAATCTTGCTCCACATGCCAGTTCAAAGCGTTCTAAGGATCAAACGACATTCCTTGGGAGTTTCTGAAGCTATCCCAATCATTTGCAAGGTCTGAAGCTTCAAGAAACGTAAGCTGTAAGTCACACGGTTTGCGATTTTTTTCAAAACTGATTATTGTAATTCCTGCATCATTAGCATGTTTAATTGGTATAGTTGTGATGTTTGAGATGTTTGCAACATGACTGTATGATTCAATTGTATTTTTGATGCCTATATCTAGATCTTCCATTGCTAGGGTTTCTATGTGCATTTTAGGTTTTTTGCATACAGGTAAAATCATGCCATGAACAAGATACCATGATGATCGTGACACAAAGACCAATTGGATTCTGGTCTCCATTTTCATTTGTCATGCGTTTTATGAGTTTTTGAAGGTGACAGGGCTATAGCTACAGATGCACGACTGTAGGTAAAAAGTATATAGGTAAAACGACAGAGGAAGGTAGAAGAAGGTCATGTGGCAGCCAGCCATTGGAGCGTTGGAATCCTGCGCGCGTTTTCCACTAACCCACTTGGCTTTAATATATTATATTTTGTTTCAGTATAATGACAACTAAACAAATTGGCCCAGTGGAAGAGCGCGCTAGTGGTAAGCATAAGGACCTGGGTTCGATCCCAGGTCCCAACAATTTACTTTGTATTATTTTGCCTTTGCAGATTCAGTGCATCACACGCTCGAGCGCCTATCATGTGTCGTCACTTCCAACCAATGGATCATAGCTTCTCCAGATCTAATGCTTCAAGCCTGAAGAAGCATGGTGTACCTTCAGGAGAGCGCTGCACAGGATCTCACGCAGGCAGGTGGGCCAATAGTCTTAGGCCCAACAAATTCAATTCATCACACCCCCAGATTTGCTATTCAACACGGGCCCATTTTCTTTTCTTTATTTACTTCTTTTATTTTAATTATTTTGTTTAATTATTTTTCACCAAATTAATTACTTTTTTATTAATCATAAAATCAGTAAATCACAAAATACCGAAAAAGCATTTTTTTAATAAAATATTTACTTTAATTTAATTAGAAATATAGGTTAATTTAATTTCTTTTTTTTATAATTAAAAGCAATTAGAAATTAGGGTTTTAATTAATGTGCAATTAAATTCTTTTCTCAAATAAAAATGTACAAAAATATTTTTCTCTCAATTAGGGTTTTAGGTTTTTTTAAGCGTCCTCGCATTTAATTTGCCGCGTGTTTAATTAATTCTTTTCATATTTTTGTAACTGCCAATGGTTTGTAATAGTTAAACTAGGGTTTTCATTTATCGCTTTGTCCCCGATTTTGGTTATGTAATTAATCCCTACCCCGAAGCCTTGTAATAGCTAGGTTTATTTTCTCGCACTTTTAATTTCCGCAATCTTTAACTGTTAGATGCATGG